ATGGTGTGGTTGGTAGCATCGTGATAAGGATGATAATAACTTTTACTCTGACATTCTTTATTACTGATTATAATGATCGTCAATTTTTAGGTCGTATTCTCTATTGACGATGCGTCATCACTTGAAGAAGCAAAAAAGATTATTGAAGAAATCGAGGAGGAACGAAAGAAAAAGGTAGCTATTCAGTGCTTTCCCAAAGACTCTAAAGACTGTCTTCTTTGCATACTTGCTATATTCAAAACTTATTTATTCATCCATATTAAGTGCGTACCCTTTCAGTAAACACTCAAGTATGAGTACAACTCCCTCGCAGACCCTATTCATCTTTTCTTTTCATAAGTGCTTCAAATTTGCCCATGAATGACATCTATATTTCTCAAGTTCTTCTACGCCACGCCATGCGCTGCACTTTCAGTCTGCTAGTGTTATTGTGAACAGGACACATCATCGGGATGCGAAAAACGACGATGTAAGCACACCTCCCTAGGGAAAGTCGGTTGCGAACTGCGATTCACATCCTTCCTCTATGACACCTGCCACATTCGTCTCCTACAAAGTAGCGGTTTTAGAAACTAGGAGGAGACTACATCATCTTTTCATCCTTTCAGGCGGAAGTACAACTATCTGACTCGGTCCAGGAATGGATAACCTCTTTTGCTTCAGCGGGCTCCATTCCTGAATTCCACCACCAGACCGTCTACCCCGCAATCTGCCGCTACATCCATTACGTCTCGCGGTCCGCAGCTAAGCTTCCAAAGAATGCAAACGCTGAGGAAGAACTCCCATTCTTGAAAAGTATTGGAATTGATAGGGATCGGGCAGTACGAAAGTGAGAGGTGGCCAAGTGGCACCGCTACCGAACTCACCACCTGCATTTGCCCCATCGGAACTAGCTCTTTTTGAACACTTCGTATGAGCATAGGAATTCCGTGACTTGTACATCGAGAGCGATCCTCGGAATTTCTGTACAGATTGAATACTCCTATCAATCGCACCACGATATAACAGAAGTCTGTGCGCAGTGCGTGTCAAATAGGCCGACAAACGCCAAACGAATTGCTTGTTCGCCCCGGATTAGGGAGGAGGCGTTTCTGTGAGGCTGAATTTGGCGAGCAGCCAGCTCGTTCTCGGTGGAAAGCGACTGATACGAATGATATGATACGATCTTGTCGCTTTACAAAAAAAATGCGTCGCACCAATCCCGTCCTCCCCCTGACCGTGCCCCTATACACCCGACAGCAGGATCAGAATACTACCCTATTGTCTGCCGGTGTAAGGCCCTTCACTCGCTTATGCAACGCGGATCGCAGCCGCCCACTCATCAAGCCGCACGGGCAAGCTTCTGGGCCGAATCAGCATCTTGTGCATATTGCGTTTTGGAACTTTAATCCAATACGAATATCAGTTAAATAGGAAAAACAAAAAGCATGCAAAAGAAAGCTGACAATTTGGCACGTTGCGAAGTCCTTCGTGAAAACGCGCCCTTTACTCAAAATTGGCGTCTTATACCGCAGAAAGACTGTTATTATCGATGTATATATTTATTATTTTCATACAGGTTCCAATAGTGTTAGTGGCGAACAAATGTGATCTCTACGAGGACGTGATGGATTGGAAAGCGAAAGGATCTCATCAGTACGCCTACACTCGAGCCATTCCTATTGTAGAATGTTCAGCGAAAAACCATGCAGAGGTTAGCGATCATTTTCAAAAGGTATGACAGGTCTCTAATGATGAGCACCCTCCAGGTAACGGAAGCGTTCAAAGAGCTACTCGAAAGGCTGCGGGATCAGAGTCGGATCGGTATCACCGAGATGAGGAAGCGTAGGTGAGCTAATAAAATCTAAAAAAATGAATTGCTTCACATATCCCAGAGATGGACAGGGCGTGGCTGTGACGTTATTTGACCCTATGCTTCTGATGGAGTATTTTCGTTTAAGAAGTATTGTGATAGTGCCTTTGTTTAGCACTAGGCAAGGCAACAGGTTATTCGAGTGGAAATATCCCACTGGAAATGCATTGTTCGAATGAAGTTAGCAGCCACGCCCTCCTCTTCTCTAAAGATATGGATTGACCATTAGGGGATAGAGAACTGCTATTGCTTACCAATAACGGCCGCAATTTCAAAGTCTGGGTAAGGAACTTGGTCTGGCGCTCGCGCAACAGACATTTGTTGTCTGTTATTGCTGCATTTCTTCATACAGATAACGTCATCCTCCTCCTCCATTCCTTTCACAGGGTTTTGTAAGATGAGGAAATAATATACAATATGCGCTAATAATTAGCCTTCATAGTAACTGTCATCCTGCTCCATTACAGGCAATCAATGCCGAGTACACGTGCCTATAGTGGAATCGATGTGGCCGACGTTGAACGTCTGAAAGGGAAACAGAAATCGGCATGCGTCATCTCCTGACTTCTCAGCGTTGCCGTACTGCACCGCCTGTCTGACTCAGCTCCAAGAGCCCTTTCTTGGATGTCGCGCTCAATAATGCTTGCCACTAGATATTCATTTCAGATACCCAGAGCTTAGCAGAAGGACATTTCTATTTATTCTTAATAGTGACGGGTTGATCTCTGGCTTTTAGCAGCTTTATTATATCCGCTTGTTAGACTCTATTGTAAATGTGTCCGCTATTCATTGACTAATAAAATGATAACTGAACATTTTTCATTACGTTATGTTATCACTGCAACTTGAGTCATATGTGAAACGTATAACGAGGATAATAATGCCGAGCACGACTTTAATTTCGGAATCCTTCTTTGGTCAGCATTTCAATACATCTATTCGATTCAAAGAATTATCAAAATATGACATACCTAATATTGTAACATTACTAGTGAAATCCATAATTAAACACCTCATACATCAAATTGTTTAATACGAAGCCTCACAAAAATTAACGCGGGATCCGAAGTGGAGACGTCCAGGAGTCACTCGCCCAAGAAAGCAAGGCTCGCCCACTTATTGAATTGCGCAGTTATATATTTATTCATCAAACATACACATACTGTACAAATGTCATAGTACAACACTGAAGCATTGCAATCACATTAAATACTCAATGCGAACTTGCCGAAGCCGGGCCCCAGTCGCGCCCGTCCATTAGAACCTCGTCGTTGGCCGTGCCTCCACTCTTTAATCGTCTGGAAAGCAGAACGCACATACGTGGAAACTGGAAACAGTCACGGTCCATTCAGGGGACGACTATCATTCATGTGATTCATAGCTGAGAACCTTAAGTTTGCAGCAGAAGCTTCACAGCTGACTTCCTGGTAAAATTCAGCAGCAGATTCTTGCTTCTCTTCTTCAGGCAGGGGAAACGGGTTTGGTTGGCTATCACCAGGCTCTTCCAAGCAGAAAAGGCGGGGTCACTTGGGTGGGTGAGGTCTCCGTACAGACTCCACTCCTACTACATCAAGATTACAGGAACTATAATTGGGAAAATTGAGTTATGATACTCATGGGAACAGTTGAAGTGGATGATCTTATCAGAAAAAAGTAGTGGAACAAAACGAAAGGAAAGAAGAGTAATAAGCAGAATAAGCCACTAGAGTAAGATAAGAGAAATCAGCGAAGATTTCATCGGAGCCAAAATTTGTAAATAATTAATCAATATAGACTGGAAATGGTGAAAAGTGTTAGAATGCTATTCAAAAATGACACAGAAGACGCTTTTGGTCGATAGTACTCCCTCCCGTCGTACTCGTTACATAATGGATCGCTACAGCATCTGGTACATTCTGTATAGAAAAGTCCATAGCCGCGTTCTTCGCATCCTAAATCTTGTACCTATGATATTGAAAACTTATCGTATTCACAACACAAGTAACATTGAAATTTAGTCAGATGGTGTTAGAAGAGAGGTTCGAGGTGCCACTTCACAATAATGCGGCTCATCAGGTGAAACCCTATTGTCACCAAATCCGTTGCTTAGGTAGCATCTGTCTTATGACTGAGAGCTGAAATAGAACGCGAGGCAAATTTCGATGAGAACGGTCGGTCCCAACATCTTTAGCATCTTTTCTTGTTTTCAAAAGTACATTCCGCCATTAGAG